TATGAATCTATTTTTTCTCTCCTCAACTAAATAGCAGGACAAACTGGGTTTTATAGATTTGGTTGGCAACCGGCCTATAAAACAACAACTTTGAATTTGTAACCTCCAACTATAGGTTAAATAGCCTCACCAGCCCTCACTTAGCTCAATGTGGTGAATATGGCTACATACTAAAGATCTGTGATCCATATAACATCAGGACAATTTTCAAAAGTGGTTCAACATTTTACAGATACCTCTTCCGAGTAAGACCCCCTTCCCATACAGGAGAACATGACTAAGGAATGTGTGTATGGCATCCTGTGCAGCTGTGGTAAGAAATATAAAGGAGAAACAGGTAAGGCTGCAAGGACATCATGAAGCAATAACACGAGGAGAAATAGAAAAATCAATGGAGGGAAAAGGGAGACCACCAGCCCTTTTGGGATGAGGTTGAAATAATAGACAGAGAACATCACTGGAAAATGCAAAAACATAAACATATGCTAGGCCACAAAAATCACCTTAGCCGGCCAAGCACAGAATTGAATACATTATAGGAACAAGTAATATGGAGTGCCAGAGAAAAGCAATAATAACAAAAAAAAAAAAAAAATACAATATAAGCTCTGGTAAAAAAGGTTACTGAGACATTAAGTTTATAAGTCCCCAAAATTCATACACTGATATCCCTAAGGACACATGGCCCAGTGGATAAAAGCATTGGTTAGATTCAGTGACTTGACCCCATGAGTTGTGAGTTCAAAAAATTTGGAGAGCATAGTTAAAGGGAGATAACTGAGACATCCGGAAGAGGCATGGCACATGGAACTAGAAACGTGGGTGAAATAAAGGGTTCAATTTGAAATACCAATCACCTGAAGAAGGCCGGAGTGTACAACAGCTGAAATATCGTGAATATGGCAATAAAGATGAGGACAACAGTCCAAACAATGTAAATAACTACTTAAATGTTTACTTATTTTATTTCAGATTTATGTAAAGAAGACCCTAAAATTTAAACATGGAAAAGTACACTACTGAACAGCAAATACATATTGTGAAATTTTGTGAAAATTAATTTCTCAATTTTCAGATATAAATTGACCATTTTGTTCTCCAAATCTAACTGCTTCAGACTTTTTCTATCTTAAAAAAAAAAAAAGTTTATGTCAACAAGTCTCAAAGAATTACAGGTCTTAAAAACAACATTAGAACAGAAATTAGATCACTCGAGCCACAGATGTTAAGGGCTGTTATGGAAAATGCCTTAGAAAGAGCATATTTATGCGAATTGGAAAATGGATGCCATTTAAAAGATGTTATCTTTCACACCTAGAGGAAATAACTCATATCTTTTTTCTATAACTTACCTACTAAAATAACACAACTTTTAAATTAAAAATAAACATAATATTAAATAGGGAAACCCCTTCATGACTTCTGGGTTACCCTGTATAATGATAGGCATCTGTTTTAGGCATCTTTATCTCAAGAAATAATGGAAGTGTCCTGTTTGGTCATAATACAATCATTTTGTGAGTAGCATCTAGAGTGATTAAGCAGTTTGATCGTGTATAATTTTTTTCTAATTATTTAACCCCAAGGAAGGTGATAATGTCACTAAGACACCAGAGGTTACTGAGAGTGAAAGAGAAGAAAAAAGAAAAAGATTTAGGATGACAGAAAACATTTATTGACATTGCATTTACATTTTTGAAGGTTGTAGATGGCAGGGAAGAGAGTTCCATAGATGAGGATGGCAAAAAAAGTAACTATTAGAATAGATCATACCATTAAAAGCATTGGTTGAAATAATCTACTGACTTGATGCAAATAGTTGTGAGTTCAATACCTGGCCTACTTATTTGATTTTTCTATCTCCAATTTCTAATATGCATGTTAGGCTGTTTCTTTTGCTAACAAACCTTCTATTTTCTTGCAATTGAAGTTTAGTTCTTTCTTCTTGCTTTCCTTCACCATCTTCTGTAGGAGTTCTTATAGTTGGCTTTCTATATCTGCTATCAATACTGTGTCATCTGTATATCTTATCTTGTTAAGATAGTTACTAATAATGAATCCTGGTAGGACTTCTAATTCTCTCAGAATCAGCTAACTGTATAAGTTGAATAAGTCCAGTTAGAAGGCACATGTTTGTCTTATGCCCCTTTTTATTTTTGTATATTTACTGAATTCATTTTCTATAAATATGCAGGCAGTATGCTTCTAGTATAGGTTGTAGATTATTATGATCTCTACTTCTTTATGTGCCGTGTCCCCTCATGGCTCTTCACAAATTCCTGATCTTTGTATCTCTTAATAAATTTTATCTTTTTGTTATTTCTCCCAAACTCTGTTCTACCATCCATTCACACAAGCTCATTAAGTATATTGTTATAATAAGCATCTGGTTGCAAAAGGAAAGGAATAATGAGGATTAGGTTTTTAAACAACATGTATTTGTTTACATAGTGTGTCTTACAGAGTTGTCAGAAAATCAGTGAAATGTCAATTTCTGCTGTTGATTGTCAGGATGGTGATAGGTGTAAGGGTGACACCTGGAGTTCACCTGTTTCTTGTTTTAGTTTGACCAAGGATACAGAATAAGGTCGTTTGCATATGTTGGTTGATCCAGGTCATGGTGGTGGGTCAATTTGTTGTTTGTCAAAGTAATAAAGGATTGGTGTAGCTGGTAAGCCTGTTCTATGAAACAGAGCTGTGGTGAAGACTGTAAAGGGATTGACTGTATTGAGTTGAGTATGCTGAGGTGACAGCAGTTGTTTGCCGAGGTGACAAGGTTGGTGTAGCTGGTTGGCTGGTGTTCTACCAAATGGTGGTAGCCTGTGTGGGTTGCAGAGTCAGAGTCACTACTTGCAGTCAGAGTTGCTTGTTTGCAGAGTCAAAGTCACTTGTTTGTGAAGTTGGAGTTGCTGCCTGCAAAGTTTGAGTCACTTGCTTGTGAAGTCAGGTGACAGTGTTGGCGATGAGGAAGGCTTGTAGCCAATGGTATTGACATTGAGATGTTATCGATCATGACGGTTGGTTTCTTGGGCCTGTTGGTATCGAGGCTGGATAGTTGGCTGCTGTAGTGTGTTGGGTATGCTGAGGTGACAGCATTGGCAATGAGAAAGGCTTGTAGTTGGATGATGTGAGGAGTCAGTGTTTGTCAAGCGTGGGAGTGGTAATGGCCATGGAGAGGAGTGGTCATGTTTGTGGCAGTGGTGGTTGCACCCTGCATGTTGGCAGGTGGCCGACTAGCTTGCAACTGATTGTGGTCATTATAGGAGATCTGCTTTTAAGCAGGTCTGGCTGCCCCCAGGAGCATCTCTTTTTTTATGTGAATGTTCACATTTGGCCAGTATTGATCTCATTGCGGGAGCTTGCTTCAGTAACCAAATATGATGCTTGGAGCCTATGCACACAAAATTACTTTTTTATTTTGTTCCCTGCCTTCATGAGATTCATATCTGGCTGGCATGCAGTATGAATCAGAAAGAGATCTAATTGCAATGGAGTATAACAATATTATGCCCTATATTTCTCTGTCCCTCCTGCCAGCTGTCTGTCCTGTGAGTATCAGATTTTCCAATCCCACCTTCCTCATTATGTTCCCCAGAAATTTCAAGTCTCTTTCTGATGTTAAGTATATGTTTCCCTTTGGTTTCCATTATCTGTAAAGCTTCATTATTGTTCACATGTTTGCTCCATGCTATCCTCAGCATCCTTTTGTAGAACCACATTTCTGTGGTTTTAAGTCTCTTCTTCATCTTTGAGGAGACTGTCCAGCATTCACAGAAATCACATAATGGTTCTGAACTCTTTTCTTTGTTTTTAATACTGATATCCTTTTCAAATATTTCAAGGTTACCTAGTAGGATAAAAAAAAAGGATCTAATGCAAATAACACCTGAATAATAAGATTATAAAAAAACTGAAAATATTTTTAATGAAAATGAATCATGGGTAATTTTTTTTCTTTGATTGTTTCATATTTCTTTATTCAGAAATACAATAAAAAAAAAAACTGGTAAATTTTAAGAAAATCTTTTGGGCAAAGAGCATATTATACAATATTGAAGTGTACAGTATTTTGCATTTCAGTGTCACTTACTATTCTTGCATTTCAAAGTCATATACAGTAATGTTTAAGAGAATCTATAGGATTAACATTACAATAAGCATTTTCTAATGATATATGATGGTTCACACTCACTAACATTTGATTAATAAAATGGAAGGAATTTTTTTTTAATGAGAATATTTGACATGTTAAAGTTGCCCTAATTAATCATTCCTTTATCCTCAGAAATGGATTGACCTCTGCACAAAGTTATTAATGATTTCTTGGCCCAAAATCAAAGGTTGATTTATGCCCAAATTTCCACTGCATTCTGCAGTCTGTAATTCTAACTTGCTTTAGTGTAAATGTCAGTCGACACAAGACAAACACAAAACTGCTGAATCACTTTTAAATGAATTTATAAGTGACATAAAACCTTCAATTAAAAATTATCTGGCTTTCTTACTTGGGCTTGTGCAAATGAATATTTCAAGAGCCAGAGATTTTAAAATTCTGGAACACACAATAAGGAAAGAGAGCTTGGAGAATTTGTGGTGTCAGTGTCACTGCTGGCTGAGTCAGAGTCACTTGTTTGCAGAGTCGGCGTTGCTGTAGTGAGTTGAGTTTGCTGAGGTGACAGCATGGGACATACAGAAGACAAGATTGGCAAAGGGAAACAATGACTAACCTACCAAATGAGATTGTTTTTATGGTTTATCAACCTTTTTGGGGGTAATTTAAAGTCAGAAAATATTTTTAGATTGTAAGAATTTTTTGAGATTATGATTTTTATTGATGCAAGTTGTACTAATGAACCCATAAATGGGGGAAAGAGGTGGATTTATACCTTTCCCGAGGGTATTTGCATGGAAGTGAATGTAAAAAATTGATGGAGATTTAAACATGGCTCTCCAATTTCTAATTCTGGGACATTATCCATTGCACCACCTACATATCCAAGCTTACAGCATCTGGTATTCCCAATTGGTTACCAATTCTAGTACTGACCAGGCTCAACATTGCTTAACTTTGGTGATTATATCAGAACTAGTGTTTCAACATGATATGGCCATAAGCCAGCACATCAGAAGATTTTGCAAACTTAGAGTTCCATGCTTGAAAAAAATCATAGTGTGTTTAACTACCTTCACTCCTCAACAATGTTTATTGTTTTAATGCTGGCCCTCTATGTAAGCTTCAGGGCTATGGTATTACAGGATGATTACTTGATTTAATCCAGTTATTCCTATCAAATCATAAAATCTCTTCCAGTTTCTTTCATATGAATGCTGGTGTTCCCCAAGGCTCTATCCTGGGTCCTACACTGTTTCTGATCTTCATCAATGAGCTTCATCGTCAGTTCTTAAGTAGGTATCTATACAGATGACACTACCATTTAGTCCTGTCTCAATAGTAAATCCAGCATTGCTGACAAAGTTAACTTAGCCATTGGTCTTGAAAGGACCTCCAATCAGTCATTGACTGGGGCAGGAAATGGCTTGTAAATTTTAATGCCTCCAAAACTAAACTTCTCTCATTTAACCACCATAGAGAAACTTCCCTGCCCCCTATTAGCATGGTTGATGCTTGACTTCAAGAGAGTGTCTCACTGTGCCTTCTTGGCCTCAAGTTTTCCACTGACTTGAAGTGGAACAACTACACTGAATCAATAGCTACATTTACTGCAAGGAAAGTTGGTCCTCTGTGTCATGCCAGAAGGTTTTTCTTGTTCAAGTTCATTTTGCATATCTACAAATTTACCATTTGTCCATGCATTGAATACTGCTGCCATATATGGTCTGGTGCCTCTGCTGTTCATCTTGATGTTCTCGACAGAATCCAAAGATGAATCTGCAATGTGATTGGTCCTGACTTGGCATCTTGACACCAGTCACTTTCTCACAGACATGAAATGGCTCCTCTCTGTCTTTTCTACAAGTATTTTCATGGCAACTGCTCTGATGAGCTATTTTCCCTGATGCCACGACTACATGAATTTAAGCGTACTACTAAGTTGGCATTTAGGTCCCACACTTTTACTGTTGAAACAGTTAAATGTAACTGCCTCTTCTACTCCAACAGCTTCTTCTCTCACATTTTCTGACATTGAAAATTCCCTTCCTCTTACTTGCTTCCCTGATAACTGCAATCTTTGTAAATTTAAATGTAATGTCAATGATGCCTTTATTCCTATTCTTCTTTTTATCCTTTCCTCAATGCCTTCTATACTCAGTCTTTTCTCTTACTTTCACTCTCTGTAACCCCTTGAACTCCTGGCTTGCTTAAAATGTTTAAAAAATAAATAAATGAATAATATAATAAATAAGTAGTGTAAATAAACAATCTATAAATAAGCAGTGTTTATTATATTTGTTGTCAATTCTAATCAACACTTTTTAAAACAATAAACATTAGCAAGGAGTGAAGGTAGTTAAAATAATAGTGGTGTCAAGGGAAAAACTGTCTTTTTGACACTCTTTTAATGGGGGACACAAAGCTCCATGTTTGCCGAGGAATTATTCTAAAATATTGTGTTATTACTGAAGGGGAAAGTATAAAGCACTTTAAAAAAAGTAAGCAAAATTTCTTTTCTATTTTTTTCTGTTTATTTTAATTTTTTAATTTATTAAAATTTTTATAATTTTTTACAAATTTATTTTTATTCTTTCACAATTTTTTGATGATTTTTTTTATAATGTATTATAATTTTAGTAATTTTTAAAATAACTTTTACAAATTTATTTTTATTTATTTAAAATTTAAAAAAGAATTTTATTACAATTTTTTAAATTTATTAAAAAAAACTTAAAATGAAGAAAAGCTCACTTTTCTTGTTTTTCTGTTTTTGCTTTTAAGTGATTTTTTTTACCCTTTTATCTCCTTATTTAAAATTGACTTTTTAATAGTAAACTGTTACAACAAAAGCTAATAGAAATTCCTTCTTCATCTCCAAATTGTTTTATACTTAATAATGCCATGTAACCTTGCTAATACTGACTTAGTTTTCCAAAGATTCCTGGATGGACAAATGGACATATCAGCATGCAGGTAAACATATGGAGGCAGAGGTATTGCTAAAAGTAGCTAAGCATATATAAGTATATAATCCGGGATGTGGTGCATCATGGGGATGGTGAATAAAAGAGGGGTGCATGGGGACTAGTGTTCTGTTCATATTCAGTTAATTGTCTATCTGAAACCATTTTCTTATGCATTACACACATATACACACACACACACACATTTTATTCTTTTCTCTTTTGGCTCATCTTTGTCCTTTTATACTTTAACTTGTTTTCCTCCATCTTCAGCAACCAAGCACCAAAATGGCTTTGCGCCATATTAGGCTTTTCTCACCTTCCCATTGTCTCTTTTTCCATATTGAATATTGTTCGGTGGAATATACAGTAAAAGCTGTAACTGGTCTCAGTCAACTGGCAGACACCTTCTGGGTGTGTTTCTCAGTGGCATCCTTTTTCATTCTTACCTTCCTCCCTTATTTTCTATTTGTTTTTTGTTTTTTTATCTTTCGTTTTAACCTTTTTTTTCCCTTTTCTTTTTCATTCTATCTCTTTATTCCTTTTTTGCTGCTTTGTTAATTTTGTCTTTTCTTCTGTTTTTTAACATTCACTGTTTTTTTTATCATTTTTCTTTCTTTTTCATTTATTCAATCTTTTTCCTTACTTTTTTCCTCACTGTTTTCTTTTTGTTTGTTTTTACTTTTTGCTATCTATTTTGCTTTTTCTTTGTGCTTGTGTTTTATCCTTTCTTTCTTTCCTTCTTTTTTTCTTTTCTGTCTATTTGTTATTATTTTACTTTTTTTTGCCTACTGTTGTACTTTTTTAGTATTTTCCTTTTCCTTCACGCTTTTTTGTGTTTTTCTCCTTTCCTTCTTTCTTTCTTTCTTTCTTTCACATTCCTTTCTTTCTTACATTTTTCTCTTTCACAATTCTTTCTTTCCTTCACATTTTTTGTCTTTTTTATTCTTTCTTTGTTTTCTTTTTCTTTATGCTTTTATCTACATTTCTATTTTCCTTTTTTTTTTGTTCCTTTTCTTTTTTTTTTTCACTTTCCTTTCTCACCTGTTATTCTTTCTTTTCTGATTATGTTTTCTCGTGTTTTTTCGCTCTTTCTTTTTTTTATCTATATTTCCATCCTTTCTTTTCTCCTTTTTCCTTATCCTCTCTCTCTTTCTTTGACATTAGTTCTTCAGATTTCTTCATTTTCTCTCTTTCTCTTCCTTTCACCCATTTCTAAATCCTTAGCTTTGAAGTTTTTCTTCTTTATTTACATATTTCTTTCCTTACCCAATTTTGCTTCTCTCTTTCCTTCATTTACTTTCTTCAATTCCATTCTGCCAGGCCAAAATACTCAGCATCTTTTCTTTTTCTTCATTATTCCATCATGTAATTATTTTTCCTTCTTTTTTTATTTCTCCTGCAGCTTTATCCTGCTGTTATCAGTGAATGACCTGAAAAATGGCAAATGAGATTTGGGGGTGAGTTTCACATTTTTTCCCATTTGGATTCTGTAGTTTTTTTATTGTTTAATCCACTTATAAAAATAAGATGGTTATTTTAATCAGTTTTGAAAGTATGGCAGGTGGAAGTGGTGTGTTAGGTTTACAGCGAGTTCATGAAATCTTGAAAATGAGGAAAATAGCCAAGTGTTGCATAAAGAAAGATAAAGAAAGAAATGGAATCAAATCTTGTATATATACAAAAAAAGAGAAAAAGAAGAAGGATGATGCTAAAATGAGTAAAAACGAAAGCATTTTAAAATAATGGTAAAAAAAAACTTTTTTAACTTTTCTATTAACATTGATTGTAATGAGATTACATTTTCAATATTTCTATTTTTGCATAAAAATATCTCCACATAAAATAAAAAAAAAAAATATTTAAACTGATTATAATGAAAATAATAGAACTTTCTTACTTTTTTATTTTTTGACAAAATTTTTATTTTGGAATAAAAAAATAAATCAAACAATTTTTATTTTTTAATTCTTTAATGAATATAATAGCAATGGAACTTCTTTTAGTTTCTTGTGCTTCTTACAAGAAAATCTTTTTAAATTTTCTATTGTTAAAAGATTATGATGAAGTCAGAACATGGTGTGCATGATTGTTTCTTGAGATCACATTTGGAAGGTGTTGTAAAAATGGTGATGACAATGGTATTAGTTAAACACACAATGATAATTAGTAACACTTGTGTGGATGGTATTGTTTCTGATTAATGATTAAGTATTCCCATCATGGCATTATTGATATTGAAAGACATTTTTTATTACTAATTTTACTCCATCTTCATATTGTTGCTTTTTACCGCAACACACTGGGTCAACAGACTTTTCAAATGTTATAGCAAACAGTGCAAAATTAGAAATAATGAAGTAACTTCAAGCAAGACTTGAATTCACACCTCACAAACTTTTCATTCATGGATGGCAACTTAACCATTTCAGTCAGACAATCATTGATGTTTAAGCAAAGAACAAATGTGTCATCATTCTATCATACCTTTGTTTTTCTACCTAGCAATAGTTATTTTTTTATGACAATGTAGTGCACACACACACACACACACACACATATATATATATAATTATTTATTTAAAAATTATAACATAAATATGTTATAAAATCACTACAAAAATAGCCATTTTGTTTCCACATCTGGTGTCTTATCAAGTGATGATGTTGAATATAAAATAAATGGTTTTAAAAGTTTCAAATTCCCCTTATGAAGGATCGTCTATTAATTTGAAACTTTTAAATCCATTTATTTTACATTCAACATCATCACTTGATAAGACACTGAGGGTGTTGAAACAAAATGGCTATTTTTGTAGTGATTTTATAACATATTTATGCTATAATTTTTAAATAAATAATTATATCTGCTCTACTCTGTATTGAGCACTCTTTTAAGAATAGTTATTGTTGGTTATTGGAATTTATTCTGTATACACCAATCATATACTTGTGTGTGTGTATATAAGTAAATATCCCAAAAAGTTTCATTGAAAAAAAACAAGTTCTGTGTGTATAATTTTTATTGTATTTTTCC